TCGAACTCGATCGATAGTGCCGACAGCCGCTATCGCCGCCCCCACCCGATGCCACTGCCGTGGGAGGGAGCCGCACGCTTTTAGCTCGAGCCCAAGCGCCGGCGCTGCACACACGCGTGTCAATATGTTCAACACACAGAATCTACATGTGCCCTCCTCTCCCCAATATGCGAATTCATGGATCATGCTGCACCTGCCGACGCGCCTATGGGCGTAATTACGGCTTCTGTCTGTCTGCCTGTCTGTCCCGGCCCCGGGGCACCCTGGACCTTCTCCCCCGTTGTGTATATAATGTATGTATATATATATATATATACTAGAACCACGCGCGCTTCGCGCGCGCTTAGGTTCTAGTCACTCCCGCGACCGCGCTCAACACCGCCAATGCCGCCACGGCTACCACCACCCTTTCCGCCATCACCGCGGTCACGACAACTTCTGATTCCATGTCCATTCTGGGCATGACCACCCCATCCACAACGATTGCACTTTCCACGACCACTATAACGGCCATAGGTTCAACCTCTGCCTGTACCACCACCAATACCACTACCATTGCCACTGCCACTGCCGCGAATCCACGACCACTATCATTACCACCACGGCAAATGCAACCGCCACGACCATCCTAATCATCGGTAGGACCACAATCGGCGCACGAACTGAAGCTAACTGCAGCCATCACCACCACGACCCCTCCAGGGCTCTCCTGGGGGCGTCCTCTGGGCCCCTTGGCGCTGTTTTGGGAGCCTTTGGGGGCTCTCTTGGAGCCCTCTTGGGCCGTCTTGGGGCTCTGATGAGATGTCTTGGGGCCCTCTTGGGCCGTCTTGGAGCTCTCTTGGACCACTCTTGGGGGCCTCTTGGTCGAATTGGGGATCCCACTGCTTCTTCTCGCATCCTCGTTATTCAGTGTTCACTTCTCTTCGCCTTTGCTCGTTTCGTCGCCCTTCCTCCCCTCGTCCTTCTGCGCACTTCTCCTGCTCAACATTCCCTCTTCTTCCTCCTCGTCCTGATCTTCTCTGCATCTTCCCTCTTTCCCCCTGCTCCTCCTCCCTTCCTCCTCCTCCTCCTTCTCCCTCCCCCCCGCGTGGATCTCCGCTGGAGAAGCCTCCGGAAACTCTGGGAGGCCAGGTTCGTCTGGGGCGTATGGGGGGCCTTTTGGGGCCTCCTTGGGACCTCTGAGGGCGGAGGGCTTGAAATGTTCGTAGGGCATCCTCTCTGGGCCCCCGCTTGGGGCCGTCCTGGGTGCCTCTTGGGCCGTCTTGGGGATCTCTTGGGATAGCCAGGGGCCCTTCTGGGCTGTCTTGGAACCCTCTTGGGCTGTCTTGGGGAACTCCTGGCGGCCTCTCGGGCCGTCTTCGTTCCCCTGGAAGGGTAAGAGGCGCATCCCTGGAAAATGTACGTTTTCCGACGGGAGCGGGGCCATTTTTGCATCTTGGGGCCCTCTTGGGAGGGCTCTTGGGGCCCTCTTGGGCTGTCTCGGGGGCTCCCGGGAGCTCTCTTGGAGCCATCGTCGGCGTCTTCAAGCTACATTTCGAGGCTCGTGCGCCCTCTTGATCTGTTTGGCGGCCTCTGGCGCCCTCGGGAGCCGTCCCAGGGGCTCCCCAGAGGCCCCAGTACCCCCATGCGCGCTCGAGGTCGCGGTCCCGAGCCCCCAGTCGTAGCTGGGCTTGATCGGCCAACTCATGTAATCTCATGTTGGTCGCTTCCTACGTCCAGGGGCTCCCTTGGAGGCCCTGCGCAAGCCTCGGAATCGTATAGAAGGGGAAGTGCGGAAACGCAGAAATCATTGATTAATTTCCTTTAGGTATTCAACGATTTGAGGCCCTCAAAGGCTTCCTGGGTTTTTGGGGGGAGGTGAAGGAGTCTGAATTGTGGTCTGTTGTGCAAGAGTAGACCGGGGGCCAAACTTGAAAAACAAAAAAACAAAAAAGAAGGACTTCGGCGCTGTTTTTTGTTTGTGCCTCGCGGGTTTTGTTAGCCGGGCCCCTCAGGGGTGTGGCTTCGGACCCCCTGGGGGTTCTGGAGGCCTCCTGGAGGTCTGGAGAGCCGTCGGAAGGGTGTCTCAGGCTGCGCGGGAGCGTGTTGGGCCGTTCTTTACGTTCTGGGGACTCCTTGGGGTCGTCTTGGGCTGTCCTTGGGCGTGTTGGGGGCCCCCCGGGACGCCGGGAGACGCGGTACCGGCCAGATGTCAGGGGATGTGCGGGATCTCCGAGTCGGAGTCCCGCTTTGAAAAAAAAAGGTAATTCTGGGAATTCCTTTTTTCCCCAAAAATCCTCGATCTTCGAGGGTTGGAAGCGGGAAAACGTCAGAAGGCGAACAAATGTTTGAAAAAACATTGGGAATCAACAATTTTAGTCTCTTTGGGCTCTCTCGGAACGGCTTTCGCAGCTCTCTTGGGGGCCTCGTCGGAGTCTTTTTGGGGCCTCTCAGGGATCGGGGGAGTGTTGGGGGCCTCTGGCGGGTCCCAGAGGCCTCTCGGAGGTCGCTGGAAGCCTCCTGCTCCCGCTCTTGGGCCCATTTTGGGCCTGTTCTGGGGTAGTCTGGGGCTGTCCTGGGCGCCTCTTCGGCAGTCTTGGAGCCTTCTTGGCTCGTCTTGGGGCCGTCCTGAGGTTTTCATGGGTGATCTTGGGGCGGTCTTGGGAGCCTCTTCATTGAAGCTCGAAAACGCGAGAAGCCAAAAACATTGCAACAACAAATGGAAATCGACGATTTGGGCCGTCCCGGGACGCCTCTCGGACCTCTCTTGGGGTCTCTTGGGGGCCACCTGGGAGCCTCGAGAGCCGTCCGAAGGCTGACTTGGGCTGCTTAGGAACGTCTTGGACCATCATTTCGCATTCTGGGTGCTCCTGGGAGGCGTCTTGGGCCCTCCTGGGGCGCTGTGGAGGCTCCCCGGAAAGGCCTCTTGGGCTCCTGGGGGGCGTTCTTGGGCGGTTTAGGCGTCTCGTGGGCCGTCTTGGCCCCCTCGTGGGCCGTCTTGGGGGCATCCTCGACCGGCTTGGGTGCCTCTTGGGCCGTCTTGGATGCAGTGGACGCAAACACGCCAAAAATATCAGTTTTCCCATAGGAAATCTACGATGTTTGCTTACTGGGCCACTCTCGGGGTGCCTGTTGGGGCGTCTTCGGAACCTCTTTTGGTGTTTTTTCGGGTCTCATGGGGGCCTCTTGGGGCTTCTGGGCCCCTTCTCGGAGCCTCTTGGGGTCTCCTAGGGGTCTCTTGGGCCAAAAGGCCAGAATTTCCGGTTCCTCGTCCCCGTCTTGGGCGCCGCCTTGGGGCGTTCTTGGGCGGTTTGGGCGCCTCGTGGGCCGTCTTGGCCCCCTCGTGGGCTGTCTTGGGGCCGGCCCTCTTGGGGGCATCCTCGACCGGCTTGGGTGCCTCTTGGGCCGTCTTGGACGCAGTGGACGCCCAAAAGGCAAACACGCCAAAAATATCAGTTTTCCCATAGGAAATCTACGATTGTTGCTTATTGGGCTCTCTCGGGGTGCCTGTTGGGGCGTCTTTGGAGCCTCTTTTGGTGTTTTTTCGGGTCTCATGGGGGCCTCTTGGGGCTTCTGGGCCCCTTCTCGGAGCCTCTTGGGGTCTCCTAGGAGTCTCTTGGGCCAAAAGGCCAGAATTTCTGGTTCCTCGTCCCCGTCTTGGGCGCCGCCTTGGGGCGTTCTTGGGCGGTTTGGGCGCCTCATGGGCCGTCTTGGCCCTCTCGTGGGCCGTCTTGGGGCCCTCTTGGGGGCATCCTCGACCGGCTTGGGTGCCTCTTGGGCCGTCTTGGACGCAGTGGACGCCCAAAAGGCAAACACGCCAAAAATATCAGTTTTCCCATAGGAGATCGGCGATTTTTGCTTATTGGGCTCTCTCGGTGTGCCTCTTGGGGCGTCTTCGGGGCCTTCGGAGGCCTTCTTGGCGTCATGGGGGTCGTCTTGAAAAGCGTCTGGAGCCATCGCTGCGGCCTCCTGGGGCCTCCCTGCAGCCTCTTGGGGCCCTGTTGGCCCCGGGACGCCGAACCCCTGTAAAAACAAAGGGAAAACGACGCCCGGTCCCCCCATGCGCTGTCGAGGTCGCGGTCCCGGGCCCCCGGGCCTCGTCCCCTGGGATATATATATATATATATATATAGAGAGAGAGAGAGAGATGTCTATATATATATATATATATATATATATATATATAGATATATACACACGAGCTAACCGAGCCGCAGTCCGCGCCTCCCTGGCCAAGAGAGTGCACGGCTGGGTCACGAGCAGAGTCTGGCGACGACCAGGCGCGCCGCACGCGCGGCAGAAGGCACTCGCCTCCAACCCACCGCTCCCCCATGCCGCTCCCCCTTGGGCCCCCGACGCACTACCACTACCCGCCTCACCACCCCGAAACGCCCACGGCCAATGAGAGCTCCTCCTCCTCCTCCTCCTCCTCCTCCTCCTCCTCCTCCTCCTCCTCCTCCTCATGCGCCTAGTCCTCTTCCTCCCCTCCTCGGACTCTCGGACGCGGCTCCGCGCGGGCGCGTCTGGAGCCATGAGGGCGCGGCGGAGGGGGCGCCGAGGCAACTGCATTGAGGAAATCGGCAAACCAACATTCGCATGTGAAACTCTATGTGCTAGAGGCTGTGAACAGCCGGAGGTCAAGTCAAATCACGGCATCCCATGGCAGCGAGCACCGAATTCTTCGGCTGGCAGTGGTGAGGAAGGCTGCTGCGAGGCAGGCAGGCGCCGACGGGTCGGCTGCCGAAGCGCAGGTCGTAGCGGAGGATGCTGGACATGCATTTGTGCATGTTTGCCAAGAAGTACTCGCAACCATAGCGAATGATTACACTGCCATGGAATGCGAGAAGGGTGGATGAGGGCAGGGGAGGCAAGTGGAAGATAAATTCGGCGGAAAGACGTCAGGCATGGCAGCCTTGTCAAAAGTCCGAGCTCTGAACTCAGAGCTCGGAACGAAGACCTCCGCTCGGAAACTCGGAACTCGGAGCCAGTTAGGGATGGACACGGAGTCGGCGGTGCTGTTGTCAGATCTCCGAGACCACCCCGCTGGACACCGAGCCCCCTCGCTCAATGCGGAGCTGGTTGTCCTCTCTCGCAACTTTCATCTGCAGGGACTGCATTAATTCGCTCCTGGTCAGACGAACGTTCTGTCTGCTCTCCATGGCGAGCACAAGAGGCTTGACGTCATCTTCCGGAAGCTGCCCTTCATCAAACCTCGTCAGATTACTCACCCATGTACAGTAGAATTTATGGAAAGCCTCCGCGCTCTTCGTGTTCGGGAAGACGTGACAGAAGCGAGGACTCGTCAAGTGACTGGTTGCGATGAAAGTGCTCGGCAGCTCGGAGACTGCCAATGCAATCGTTCTGTTGGAACTCCACCCGTACCGGATTCCGTACCACAGTCTTAAAAGCCCGATGACGGCATCCGATATGATGTCGTTCTCCACGTCTGTGTACTCGGTTCCCACAGAATGCCGGGTGTAACCGTTCACGATAATGGCAAGGAAGAAGTTCACGAGACAGAAGAAGTTCACTACGTGAAGGAGGAAAACGTAGACGAAGTACTCGTGCTCGAGCGTGCCAGCCGACGATAGGTCGGACAGCATGAGCGTTCCTGGTGGACCCAGAATCGCATCCATCTGAGTACACATTGTTCTGAAAATGGTCGACATGTCTTCACGCAGCGCCCCGAATCGCCAGGTGCCAATGATTGCAAAGGAAAGGAGTACTAAAAGAAAAATCACAGTGAAGTGGAAAATGTCGGACAAAGCGTGCTCGAGTGTGGAGGTGATCATTGCCACGCGGGGATGCAAACTGGTAGATAGAAGAACGCCAATGAAGATAAGTAGAGCCTGAATCATGGCAAGCCCCTCGATCCAGTCCCCCCAGTCCATGTGGCTGAGCAGGACCTCGAGGGAGCCCACCAAAGTGGTGACCTTCTCGTCTGAGCGCGCGCTGGAACCCCAATCTTGGTTCACGAACTCAGCCACTGTGATTTTGGTGTAGGCTTCAGAGTTGCCGGCTGCAATCAATGACAACGTCGAGGAGGCCACGCTGAGAACTGCCACGCAACTGTGGATCAGCAGGCCGACGTACGCCCGCCGGTCCACAATCTTTTCTTTCTTCCACTGACCCCAGAGTATCCGTCCCTCGCCTATCATCTGAATGATTAGAGCGGCCTGAAAGATGAGGGAGACCGCGATTAACACCTGGAAGTTCGTCAGCTCGTCCCCGATCAGAGCCACGAAGTGGCGGATAGTGTACGAATTCGACAACCCGTCCGGCTTCATGCTGAAGCTCACGGTGAGAGAGGTCGTGATGCCAGATACTGGCGCGAAGAAGACGGCGCGAATCTCCAACTTCTCTGTCAAGGTATCTAAGAAACTGCTGCTTTCTACCAACGTTCGCTGCCCATCGCCGGACACATCGCGTACGAGAACGGGGATGTCCGTGATGGTCTGAAGGACCTCAACATACCAGCCCTGGCCTTCGAACTGGCGGGGCTCGATCCCGAAGAAAACGCCGTCCTCTAGGTCGCCCGGGCACTGATAGATGGAGCTGCTGGAGAAGGAGGGGCAGGTGTACACTCCTTTGTTGGCAGCTCATGGCAGCGTCCCATGCCATCGGGCTGGCTCTTGCGAATCGACGCTGGCTAACGCTGACGCTGATCGACTAAGACCGACGCTGATCGACGCTAAATCAGCGCTACTCGACGATGAGTTTACTCTGATCATCGATTACTGGACACTGGCGCACGCCACTGCACTCTGGCGGCGACAAATAGCGAGGGCGTGCGATGCTCCAATGATTTGCTATACCGAGAGCTCCGTCGCACCGCAGCTCGCGGCCCACGCGCACGAAACTGTCCAGCACCTCTTGGAGGTCCCAAGACCGTGTGGTGACAGACCCTGAGATCCGACGCTCCAACAAAAATGGAGCAGGCGGTTTTTGCCAAAATTTCGGCCTCGGGGGGCCCTCGCTGGGCCTCGGGAGCGTCAAAACATGACTCTGGACGAAAAACCGGTCCCGGGGAAGTGGTCCAGACCTCCGGGATCCACGCACCAAAAGGAATCCAGATGTCTGGGGACCGTGTGGTGACAGACCCGGCGGTGAAGTCGAAATCCGCACAGACCTCACCACACGGTCCGTCACCACACGGTTTTGGGACCCTGGAGGCTCCAGTCGCCCGAGACACCCTCGGAGAACGACCCAAGTCCCAAAACCGTGCGGTGACCCCGATTCCCCACCGACTCACCACACGGTGTGGTCACCACCCCGTTTTCGGGAGCGGCCAAGAAGGGAGTGTCCAAGAGGAGGGGTGCAAATCATGACCGGCGGCATGTGCGCGGCCCAGCGGGGGGGCCAGGGACGTAATGAAATGAGAAGAGGCGCCATGAAATCTGGGAAATATCATGGCCACGCCACGATATCCCCCCCCGTAGTCATCACCCCCCTCTGCCGCCCCCGACGCACCCCGGGGAGGAGGAGGAGGGGGAGGAGGAGGAGGAGGAGGAGGAGGAGGAGGAGGAGGAGGAGGAGGAGGAGGAGGAGGAGGAGGAGGGGGAGGAGGAGGAGGAGGAGGCATCCTCTATGCTGCATGACGTGCGGTGTAAGTTTCCCTATATTGCTACCGGCCCCCCCAGTACCGATCCAAGCCCTGCAGGTGCCCCATTTGCCCCTGGTGTCCCTGCTCCTTTGTGTTGGTCTGCCTCCCGTGAGGCTGCGCTCCGTGCCACTATCGATTTGGAAGCATCAAGGGACGATTGGGAGTTACCAGTGGGCCTGCCACGGTATTACGTTCTTAGAGACCCTTACCTCATTGCGACACATTCCATGGACTGTACGCTACATAACCTCCACAATTCCCCGTGAGCGGTGTGTTATGATAGCGAGGACCGTGCACTCTCTTACATCACGTTTCCTCTGTCCTCATGGATTGGTGCTCAGGCCTGAGCGGGTGCAAGGGGAAGGGTCTCAGTGTGAAGGTAATGACGGGACTATAAGTCTCCTCGCGTGTACACCCACGGGCTAAAAGGTAGTAACTCTGAGGTGCCTGCAAATTTTTGCTGGCTCGTTGGCTCTCCAACAGTACCTGCACCTGCCTGGAGCCAAGGCTACTCTTTCCCTATTTGTCTTTGCCCCCCCTTGCACCGCCCTTAGTGTTCAAACACTTTAAAAGGTAGTAACTTTAGGCACTCCGCACCGTGTGGTGCTTGCGCCTTGTGGTGCGGCCGCAGCTTGTTCATCCCCTTGCCTGCTGCTGCCTCTGCTCTGCCCTGTTCTTCACTCAGTTGTCTTCTCGCATCCTTCTCTCCATTTCGGCTTCCTGCCTGCCGTACGACCGACCGACCGACCGAGGAGGAGGAGGAGGAGGAGGAGGAGGAGGAGGGGGAGGAGGGGGAGGAGGAGGGGCGTTTGTTCGGCGCCCCCGAACCTCGTCGGCGAACTCCCACCCGCACGGACGCGCCTTGCGCCGGGACTGCAGCAGCAGCGGCGGGGCCACCAGCAGGGTCTTCTCCTTGAAGGTGCCGACCGCCCGTGGCAGCCGCTCCCCCATCTGCCGCTGCTGCGTGGGCGACGCGCCCGTGCGGAGCTCCTGCGACCCGAGGCCTCCGTACCTGAGGGCGAACGAGAGGCGGGGGACTGGCAGGGGGCCCTGAGAACCTTTCTCAGTCAGCAGCCGCAGGCGACAGCGCAAACGGCGAGTCCGAGTCAGAGCGGGCCGCGCAAGGACGAATTACCCAAAGGCGGCGGGGCCTCAGGCATCACCACGGCGGACAGGGCCGGCGGGTGGGGGTGCAGGCTGCGGCTGCCGGGAGCTGGGAAAAACAGGGCTAGGATCGGGATAAATCGCTCCAGAGCGTTCCGGAGGGCTCTCAGAGCGTTCCGGAACGCTCTGGAGCGGCCGCGGCGCCCAGTACATCCTCCAAACCCGCCGATCCTCAGAGATTTCGAGTTATCCCGATCCGATTTTGTCCCGATCCTCGCGTCGTTTTAGAGCTGGGCCAGGGCAGCGCGCAAATGGACCAGCCCGAGAACCGACGCTCCCCCAAAAAAACTGGAGCAGGCGGTTCTCTTGTCAGCGTTCGGCCTCCACAGGGGCCCTCGCCGTCGGCAGCGTCAGACAACGACTCCGGACGAAAGGGCGGTCCCGGGGAAGTGGTCCAGGAGGAGGAGGAGGAGGAGGAGGAGGAGGAGGAGGAGGAGGAGGAGGAGGAGGAGGAGAGGGAGGAGGACGAGGAGGAGGAAGAGGGAGGAGGAGGAGGAGGAGGAGGAGGAGGAGGAGGAGGAGGAGGAGGAGGAGGAGGAGGAGGAGGAGGAGGAGGGGGCTCCTAAAATTGGAGCAGCCAGATGTCTTGGGGGGGGCATCGACCTAGAAACAGCCATGCATCGCCGACAGATCGGCGAAGGGTACCCGACGGCGAACCCGCACGCTCCTGGGCGGGAAAGGGCTATCGGGCCCCTGTCGTCGATGAGTGAATGGGCGATTGGGGGTCGATGCAAACCCCCCTGGACCTACTCCCCCCCCAATCATTGCCCCTGAGTGCCTCTCCGAGGCCAGACATCCGGCTGCCCCGGAGGTCCGGACACCTTCCCCAGGACTTGTTTTTCGTCCGAAGTCGTTTTCTGACGCTCCCGAGGCCCGGCGAGGGCCCCTGGAGGCTGAAAACAGGCAAAAACCGCCTGCTCCAATTTTTTTCGAGCGTCGGATCTCAGGGCTCAATCGTTGCCCCTGAATGCCTCTTCGAGCGGGGAGGGGCGGAGGGGTTGAGGCACGGGGAAAGACACGCGCTGCTTGGAACGGCGCTGGGCGAGCGTGCGCGTTGGGTTCCCTTCTGGACTCCTGCGTCGGCATCGGCGGGTCGATACTGGAGAGCTGGAGAGCTCCACCGGTGCCCCCGCAGCTCTGTGGCTCGGAGCTCCTCCCCAGACGTGATCGCGTCGTGAAGAAATCGGGACGGCGGATTTGTCGGCCGTTTTCGGCCTCGTGGGGCCCTCGCCGGGCCTCGGGACCGTCGAAAAACGACTCAGGATGAAAAACCGGTCCCCAGGGAAAGGGTCGGGACTTCCAGGGACGCCGTCCTGAAAAAATCAGGACTTCGCATGTCTGGGCCTAGGAGCTCTCCAGCTCCAGGAAAGCGGAGGAATGAGTTTGGACCATGGGACTCCCCTGGGGACGCGTCCTGAGGACGTCTGGGAGCCATTCTTGTCCAGTTTGGGGCCGCCTTGGACCTCCCTCCCTCCCTCCCTCCCTCCCTCCCCTGGAATCATGCTCGGGCCGCCTTGGACCTGTTCGAGAGCCCCTCCGCAGCCCCTGCGACGCCAGACTCCGGCATGTTGGGATTACTGCGTGTCGATGCCACTTCCGCATCGCTCTCTGAGATCATCAAAAATAGGGCGGACGGCGATCGCGGAACGTCTTGGATCCGCCCGCCCAGAGCCGTGGGCGTGCGGAAGATTCAGAATCGGGCAACTCTAGCCGCCACTGCTCCACCACGAAAGATCCGCCCAACCTGTTGCCCGGTAAATTCAACGTCCTATTTCGAACCCACGGCGGCTGCGGGACCGAATCCACGACGAGACCGAGCTCCAGACCGTGCCCAGTCTGCTCTCGGAGCCGACTGCGGCTCGGTACTGGCCCTCACGCGGGCCTCTCCTTGGCCTCCAGAGGATGGGCTCGGCCTGCATGCGTGTTCGGACGTCCTTGTCCAATCTTAAAAAGACGCCCCTGCTTGACGCTCGGGCGCCTGTCGGCCGATCCGCAGAGGTCTGCGAGAGCCTGATGCCGAAGAGTCCGGAAGAATCTGGAACGAGGTTGGCAGTCCAGGGCTTGGACTGCCAAGATCTGCCAAGATCATCCGCCACCGCGCAGCGAGGCCATGAATGGACGGCCCTCGGGCCCCACGAGTTCTGGATACTAGACATCGAAAGCGTCACTTAGGGGGGGTGGGGGGACCCCGGGCCAGTGAGCATCGTTGATCCGACCCCCATCCCCAGCGGCGTAGCCTGGGCCCCACTGGCCGACTTACCCCCCCAGACGGGGATATGGGCCGTCCCCTTCGGGTTTCGAGGGGTGCATCCCCAACTGGGGTGGTAATCTGGTGGGGGTCCCCAAAGGGATGAGGATGGGGATGGGGGTCGGATCAGCGACACGGATCACAGGCGCTCCTGGGCACTCTTCCGCGCTCTCGGGGCGGCTCGCGCGATCTTTTTCGAGGCCTTGGGAGCGCGTCTGCGGGTGCACATCAAGATGGCCCTCTTGCCGTCGCTCGGACGTCCATTTCCCGTGCATTTTTCGATTTCGTGCGTGTTTTTTTGTTGCTCGATGGTCCAGGGTGGTCCTCGATGGTTCTCGCCGAGAAAAAATGCACACGTCCGAGCGATGCCAAGACATCAAGATGGCCCTCGGGGCCGTCCTTCAGATGGCCACGGCGCCGCCCTGGGGCTCTGTTGGGGGCCTCTTGGCCGTAGTGGAGGCACCTTGGTGGCCACGTGTCCTGAGATGGCCCTCGGGGCCGTCCTGGGGCCTTGTTGGAGGCCTCCGGGCTGCAGGGTGAAGGCCCATGGGGCCCAGCCCAAGAAACCAGAATCATGGAAAATCTGACCGCACAAGATCGGGAAGCGCCGTTTCTGCTCATAGCAGTGTTTGTCGTCAAAGCTCTGGACGCCAGCGTTCGTACTGGGAGCTCTGGCGTTCGAAGCTGCCCACGTCATCGTTCGTAATGGAGCCTTGGGATGTCGTGGTCGGTCTCTCGTAGGCCTCTTAGAAGCAATTCTGAAGCCTCTTGGGGGCCGTTTTTGGGGGCCGTCTTGGGGGCATCTTGGGGGCCTTTTTGGGGCCTCTTGGGGGCCTCTTGGAGCGTCTTGGGGGGCTCCCGGGGGCCTCCTGGACCCTCCGGGGGGGCACTTGGGGCCGAGGACCCGAAAAGTTCGTTCGTGTACCTCGTCTGGGCCCCCTCTAAGAGCCATATTGACGGCCTCTTGGGCCGCCGCGAAGCTTCTTGGGGCCGTCTTGGGGCCTTCTGGTGCCTTCTTGGAGCCGTCTTGGGGGCCTCTTGGGCCGTCTTGAGGCGATCTTGGGGGCCTCTTGGGCCATCTTGGGGCGATCTTGGGGGCCTCTTGGGCCGTCTTGGAGCGTCGGGAAACGGAAAAGGCGAGAACCCCAAAAACCTTCAAAAACTATTCAAAAATCATAGATTTGTGCCTCTTTGGCGCTCTTGTGAGGCCTCTTCGAAGCCTCTTGAGGCGTCTTGGAGGCCTCTTGAGGGCCTCCTGGGCCGTCTTGGAGCTCTCTTGGACCGTCCGGAAGCCATCTTAGGGCATCTTGGAACGCTCTAGGGCGGTCTTGGAGCGCTCTTGGGCCGTCTTGGAGCCCTGGTGGCCGTCTTGGGCGCGTCTTGGTCGGATTTTTTGAGCGGGGTGACAATTTTTCCGCAATTTTCCGGAACCTGACCGGACAAGAACGGGAAGCGTCGCTTTTGCCCACTAGGTGTGCGAAATGTGCTCTGTTGTGTTGGTCTGCC